CTGTGGTGCTGCCCTGCATTGAAGCCAGCTGCCTAGGTGCTAAAACCTCTACAAACTGTGTACAAACCCTACAAACTGTGAGCTAAAATCAATCTTTCCTCCTTTAACTTGTGGGTATCAGGTATTTTATCTTAGAAAGAGTAGCTAAGACAGGCATGGACAAATCTACCAAGATGAAACCCATTAATCTGTATAACCAAAATGCACTAATAAAAATATATGTGGAAAAAAGTAGAACTGGCTGAGACTAAAGACAAGAAAATCCTCTAGGAGGCCTGGCCATAGCTCAGACCAGAGTGTTTGGGGCTAATGTAAGACAGAAGGCCTAGCGAGAGAGAAACAAATGCGTGATCAACTTCCGGTGTCAAATTGGGGCTTTCTGCTCATTGAATGTGGTGGTGAGGTGCAGCAAAGTTCTGAGAGGCAACACACTCTCTCAGGAACGAGTTTTTACACTGGAATGCATCTGCCAGCACCCAGGCCCAGTTTCACTAAAGGACATTGTACACATTCGTTCACATCTTAGATTCTCCATTTGCCAAGTAGAAGTGACCACACTATTTCCAAGCTCATAGGATGCCGGTAACTAATTTACATTCAGTGCTTAGAACTCTGCTATTGCTCAACATGTGTTGGTCATTAATTGCACAGACTCCTGTTTTATTTCCCTCATCAGCATCATCGGTAAGGTCATCATTTTCAGCACTAAGATAAACCCTCAGCCATCTAGCGTAGGTCACCAGCCGGAAAAAGAGAAAAATATACAGTAATTTAAAGCATTGTTCAAGACTGATAGAACAGAAGATGGGAGTCACCTGATTGTTGTGGTTTACTTCCCAAGCTGTATCAGGAAGGCAAGAAAAGAGGGCCGCATGAAACTAACCAGCAACTTAGTCCAGGAATAAATTTGAAGAAATTTGCACGAATTTTAATAATTAATGAATTAAAAATAAATTTTAAAATTTATTTAAAATTATTAAATTTTAATAATTAATGAATTAAAAATAAATTTTAAAATTTATTTAAAATTATTAAATTTTAATAATTAATGAATTAAAAATAAAATTTTATTTTATTTTTTTGAGACAGGGTCTCACCGTGCAGTTCAGGCTGGTCTTGAACTCACTTTGTAGCCCAGGCTGACCTCAAACTCTCAATGATCCTCCTGCCTCAGCCTCCCAAGTGCTGGGATTACAGGCATGCACCACCACCACGCCCAGTTTCTTGCATGAATTTTAAAACAGAGAAACCCTGATTCTTTTCTAAAATTTGTTTCAAAAATAGGTTTATGAAATCGTGTGTTCATGTAATATTATATAACAATACACTCTCATTACAATGGATTAAAACTGTAAGCCACTGAGTGTAGTGACACATACCTGTAATTCCGGCTACTCTGAGGCTGAGGCAGGAGGGTCATAAATTTGAGATCAGCCTGAGAAACTTATGGAAATTCTGTCTCAAAATATTTTTTAGTTTTTGAGGGTTTGGGACATACTTCAGTGCTCCCTGAGTTCAATCTCCAGTACTACCAAAAGAAAATTAAGCTAAAGCAAATTTCCTCTGAGCAGGCACAGCTACATTTCTTGCCCTATTTCCCTTTGACACATACATGCATCCCTATACTGAGTACCTAACTTGAGGGATATGGTCACAGTACAGTTTTACTGTTGCCGACTCTCTCTTTAAAATTTATTCAAGTGATGCCTTAGTTCATTCAGCTGTACACAAATTACAGAATTTATTGTTATAAACAACAGAAAAATTTTTGTTGTTGTTTCTTGAGACAGGGTCTCACTATGTAGCTCAGGCTGGCCTTGAACTCCCTGTGTAGTCAAGGCTGGCTTTTATTTATTTATTTTTTTTGTCTTTTTGAGACAGGGTCTCTCTATGCAGTTCAGGCTGATCTTGAGTTTCCTTTGTAGCCCAGACTGCCCTCAAACTCCCAGTGATCCTCCTGCCTCAACCTCCCGAGTGCTGGGATTACAGGAATGAGCCACCACGCCCAGTTTAGGCTGGTTTTAAATTCTTGGTAATCCTCTTGCCTCAGCCTCCCAAGTGCTGGGATTATAGGCATGTGCCACCATGGCTGGCAGCAACGAAAACAACAGGATTTTATTATTCACAGTTCTGGAAGCTAGGAAGTCCTGTAACAAAGCACCAATGGATTTGATGTCTGGTGAGCATTCACGCTTCACAGATGGTAACTTCTATGTGTTCTCACATATGAAGGAGCAAACACGTTCCTCAAGTCTCTTTCAGAAAAGCACTAATTCCATTGATGAGTGCAGAGCCCTCCTGAGCTCATCACTTCTCAAGGCTCTACCTCTCAAAACTACTTTCTTAGGGCTTAAGTTTAAACATACGAATTTTGAAAGGACACAAATATTCATACCATAGCAGATAAGGCAGTCTCATTCAGCCCTAGAGGGAAATTCCAGCAGACCCTTGACTTTTTCTGCTTCAGAAAGTAAACTTCCATTCTAACACGTGAATCCAATCTTGATTTGCAGCCGGGCGTGGTGGCACATGTCTGTAATCCCAGCACTAGGGAGGCTGAGGCAGGAGGATCGTTGCGAGTTTGAGACCAGCCTGTGCTACAAAGTGAGCTCAAGGCCAGCCTGAACTGCGTAGGAAGACCCTGTTTCAAAAAGACCAAAAAAAAAAAAAAAAATCTTGATTTGCAATCAGTTCTTGTCTTATCAGGAAGAGGCCTGTTTTCCATCTTGCCCTTCTTGTCCCGATCCTCCATTCAAGGTGTAAGCAGGTTCCGAAACCTCCAGGCCAAATGCTTTGAGAACGCACTGTGAGAAGAGAGGAAAAAATAGAACAAGGAGAATTCTGGAACTGCGCCACACTATGACCATTTGCTGGTCAGGTAGAAACCAGATCTGCTATGTGCACTACTCTGAGAGGCCTTCAGAGGCCATGACCAGCTGTGACCCCCCAAGAGCTGTGTTAGCCAACTTTCCATTAGCACAACAAATACCCAGGATAATCAGCTTGTGCCAAGAAAAGGTTTGCCTTGGCTCAGTTTTAGGGGTTTCAGCCCATGAGGCGTTGGCACCATTGCTTTGGTTCTGTGGAGAGGCAGCACATCACGGCAGGAGTGCATGTTCATCTCATGGCCAGGATGCAAAGGAAAGAGAGGAAGCGGCTGCCACCACATCCACGTTAAAGGCGTGGACCCCACCTAAACAGCTGCCACAAGGCCTCACCTCGTGAGGATACCACCACCTCCCAAAACACCTTCCTGGGGACCAAGTCCTGTAGCTCTTTGGAGGACTTTCCAGAGCCAAACTAGAACAGAATGTTAATGAGCTGCTCCCAATCGCCATGCAGTTTCTGCTACCACTGACTCTTTACAAGGGGGCTTTCTCATTTTCAGCCAGACTCAGAATGAACCCAGTCTCTCTTTCATGGGCTCCACCTCCAATACAAAGGAAGCATTCCAAACTTCCTCACTCTGGCAAAATCTGGGAACACAGCAGAACTTTACAGGGCCACCTGCACTCTGTCACAGGTATCTACGGCTTGTCAGGCATGGGTCAGCTTCCAGGCCTTTGTGTCTCTCAGCTACAGGAACCAGATGTCAGGCTCTTCAGCATGCCGCCCCCCCCACCCCCCGCCAACTTATGCATATTCACCAGCACAGTCTCTCTTCCTTTAAAAAAAATAAAAATCGCCGTACCAATTCCTCCTGTTCTACAGCCTAATCCTTCTTAATATCCTTAATCTGATGGAGAAGTACAAGAGCCAGAGAATTTGTTTTGTAACCACTGCACAAGTGGATTGGGCTTCAAAATTTGCCATATGTTATAGTCTGGGGTTTGAATCTTGAAAATCCAATTTTAATATCCTTTTACAATGCACGCAAAACTTATTTTGAATGTCTTACTTTTATGTAAATGCTGTCATAATTGCCAGCAACATCTTCTTTTTCATTCTGTATCTTAGAACCTCTTGTTAGTAAGCTTATGTGGTTCCATTTATTTATTGGGAATCTGGGATGTCAGACACCATCCGATGACCCCAATTCTTTATGCTAGCAGCAAGCAAAGATAAGCAAACTCTTCCAGCAGGCTAAATTTGACATGTGATTTGTTTTGCTTGGTGGACACCGAGGCTTTGTTTTTGAATGTCTCCAATACTTTTTGCTAATCAATGATCCCGTTGCACGGATTTATGTTAAATTCCGTGCATCAGAAGGAGATGGAGTTTATGAGTTCTCATACATCTCACACTTCTAAGCTCTCGTTCTATTTCTTTTCTTATCAGATCATTTTCCTGGCAAATGTAAAATCTTTTAAGGGCAGAGAAGAAATGGTCTTTGCTTTTTTTCCCTCCAACTCCCACCAAGAATTCCTAGCTACACTTTCAAAATCAGGGTGCTCAGTGAAATAAATCAGTCTCACATGTGTAAACATTGTATTGCCTCCCTAGTGTAAGAAGGTGAAAGAGTAAATAAGATCCAAAATGTACACTAGATATTGTGAAATGGAAAGAAACTGCTCAAAAGGAAATAGAACCTGGAATGGGGGAAAAGAAAAAAGGAAGGGAAAACGAAAAAAAAAGAAAAGAAAAAAAATATATGTACAGGATAATTAAGGTAGTTATGCTACTAATTGCTGTTAGTTCACTGAAAAGAAAAATTTATGCCTGTATTTTTTGATCAATTTTTCATGCCTATATCTTGTAATATGAGCAACTACTTTGAAAATAACAATATGCAATATACTAACCATTGTAACTCTCCTACAATCTTGTTTTGAAATTTTATACCTTGTTTTTATTGTCTATTTGACTTCTTTAAAACAAAAAATAAGGAAAGATAAATAAATAAAGATAAAAACATGTAAAGTAAAAAAAGAAAAATCAGGGTGCGCTCCTTGAATCGCCCTCGCTGCTATTTGCACCTCCGAGCGTGAGGGGGCGACATAAAACACAGGCGGCGCGTTGGCTTGAGGGCGAGGCCGCTCCCGACGCGTACGTCACTACGTAGACGTTGAGGGCGGAGCCGCGCTGTGCGCGGTGACTGGCGGCGGCACTGGCGGCACCTGGAGACGTAATAGTGCGGGGTTTAGGCTTGGAGAAGTTCCGAGGCGGCAGAGGCGCCGGCGACGGCTTCGACAGCGGGAGCGGGCCGGGGCTTGGCGCTCACCATGCCGACGGTGGAGGAGCTTTACCGCAACTACGGCATCCTGGCCGACGCCACGGAGCAAGTGAGCCAGGTAAGTCCCGAGCGGCCTGCAGCGCCCCGCGCGCGGCCTCTGAAGCGCTGCCCGCCGGCCCGGCGGGGTGGG